TGGCCGCTAAGAAACATGCACTTATGTATTAGAATATCATGGAGGACAGTATAGTAACCCTTTTCTTTGTATGTCACATTTCTATAATTATCTCACTTGAGAGAAACACTGTCAAACCGACTTAGTTGCCTCATAGCTTTCCAACTGGTGTCACAGCAGTTCCTTTGACTGGGAATCCTAAAGTTCGAGTCCCGAGGGTAGCAGGATTTTTGACGCTGGTTGGAGAGCTACATTAAATACAGCTGGTCTGGAGACGAATTCTAGCAGCAGGCAGATCTGACTTGTTGTGGCCCGTGGATTGTTCGATCAACACCAGGCGAAGGCTGGAGCAGAAGGCAAAAAAACGGGCCACGGACCTTGCGCGATCTTTCCTTTCTCTTCCTTGCTCTATCCTCATCGTTTATGTACCCCCCCCACACACACATACGTGCACTATACTACCACAAGTCGCAAGACCAGTTGGAAGCATAAAGCTTCTCCTTGTTAGAGCGGTACCTCACTGGTGGGAAACGTTGGGGAAACTGCATGAACCGGACGTGGAGTTCTGGGTTTTCCCACCCCAGACGGGGAAGATCATATTCACCTCTCGAGGTATAAACCTATACTATACTTACGGGATTAATTACCTTAGCAGTTGTGAATTAATGATCTTAGTACTCTGAAATACTAACCACTCAAATACTTTTAATTTGCAGCGCACTATGTGGGTTCGTCATCCTGGACGTTGGACCACTTGGCTAGTCGTATAACAGCACACGGAATTTGGAGTTCGATTGTGTTAGAAGAGAGCTCAGCTTATTTTATAACGAAATGTGTTACCTTCATCAGAGTAATAAGTCATTTATTTACAAAAATTGAAAATGCCACGTGTTTTAAAGTTTCGAATTTTATGTAATTATCGCTAACTAGAACACCAAACTCGTACTTTTAATCAAGAATCGCGGAATACGGTAATAGCCTTGTAGGTTCATCTCATCAGTAATGGTGCATTGACGAAGACCTACGGTATTTTTCAGAAGAATGTCATTTTAAGCAGAAATTTAATGAGAAAAAGGTTTAATTAAAATACATTTAATTTCGCCGTAAGAATCACAAAGAATTGCTTTTAACAAAACTTTCCTTTGAGATTATTCACAATCCATTTATGTTGAGAGAGACATTCCTTAAGCTTCATCAAACCCTTTTTGCATGTATCCACACGCATTTCTCAGACAGAGAAGAATTCTTTAATTAATTAAACGGCAATAAATGAGTATCTTGTCACTGATTTCTGCTCGAGAATCTTGAAATAAGTGTGCTCCTTTTCGTAATATTAAATAAAAATCTGAATTGCATATTTTGTCACGATCTCGTAAAGGAAACAATTGAAACTCCAACTAACTTTATTCATTGACAAGAAAAAAGCACTTCGTTGAAATGTTTCAACAATAGCTACTAAGTGTTCATTTGGAATTTCAAAGAAGACAATCACGGCGTTGATTTACATCGCTCAAATAGGAAAACAGAACAATACAGTCTATGGCTCCCGACATGTTAATTAGTTTAGAGCAGTCGTACATTTCATTACAGAGCGTTCACTTTCATTTAAAGTTATGACTCGAAATAATGGACAATTTAGCGCAGTCGCATCAATCAGATAGTCCCGTCATCACCAAAGTTTCCAACCTTCATTCGGTCTTCCCTCGGAACAGTCGCTGTGGTCCCTCACTTCCCTTCCTTCTGCTTCGTCATCTTCGTAGCCATTAATTTTTTCTTGCTTGAAACAAAAGTTATTTTAAAGAGTTATATTCTTTGTTTTATTACTTCCCTGTCGCGGGCCGTCGTCAGCCTCTGCGCCCCCGCTGCCCGCCCGTGCTCCTTGGATTCAATTAATGGCGATTCGCCCTCGCCGAGTCAAATCAAAGCAGCCACTCGTCTCCGGAGGCCGGGATTTGAACGCCACCATTCGAAAACACAAAAGAACACAGGTTGTTTGTTCCTGTTATCGGCCACTTGTGTAAAAACTGTAACAGTCCAATCATAACACCGTTAAAAACAAATAACATAAATGGGTGTAGGTAAATATTTGAATGAGTACTCCCATTCAAGAAATGTTATGTATTACTTTACGGTGATCATAAGATGTGATCATCAAATTCAACATTTTTATGCCGATATCATAATAATTGGATTTGTATCACCAAGGTTATACACCTCAGTGATTGCTTCTGTTTAATAAATCATTATCCGCGTCAATAATTCTCAGTTTGGATATTGACAATAATAAACTGCCCTCATCTCTTTTGTGATTGCTTGTAGACGGATGAAAATGGTATAATCGCGACATAAAGTGCTTGATATAGCCTATGTGTTCCCAATACTTTTCATGAATTCTATAATTTTAAAGAAGTGAAAAATGCTCAATATTTTTTAAATAATAGAACGCCACTCGTTGTTTATGCTTCAATCCCTTTAAGTATATTAATTTAGCGTTCTCATTTCATATCCCGCTAATATATCTGTAACATCAATTATCTTTTACAATCATCTCTTTGTATTTATTATAATGAAATTACTCAAATCGTCAAATCTAAAGAGATCGAAATTCCGAACATACTCCAATATCCGAGTGGTTATTTTACCCGGTCGGGATATAGGGTAACTGCAAAGTGTTCAGCATCCTAGGCATATCTTGTTAATACCACGTACGATTTTTGATCTCAAAGAATAATTGTCACTTTCTGGTTTCACTAAAATATTAAACATTTGCAACGAAACTTAATACCCAATACAAATAATCATTACATTCTTCGGAGTCCGAAGAGAAGTAGGATATCGCTGACTCCTCTCTTCTGCAAGGAACTGTCAGCTTTGCGTTCGTCTATATATTCATTCCAACTCGAGATAGCCTAATCACCTTATAAGGATGAAACAGTGACAGTCCTCTTCATCTGCTTCTCTCGTTCATGGGAGTGAGATCATTTTCTTAGTATGTATTGGTATCAAGACGTGTACTTGCTTTGAATTGAATCTCAGTCGTTGAAACTTCTGATAGGTGGATGTGCACGAAATATTATTCGCTGATGTACGTACATATTAGGACAGTATTTTTTTATCTCACGGATAATCTCACAATTTACATTTCTAGAATTATGCACTAGTGACCTGAACAGCAACAAATGCTGTGAAGAAAACAACAGAAAAGGTTTTCAAAAAGCTGCTTGCTCACTGCTCATAAAACAAAGTTTTCTCTCTTATTAACAAGACAATAAATTAAATATTTTAAAAACTTCTTATGAATAAAACATATGAAAGTATATACGGACTGTTGTCTTTCTTTAAACATGAACTGTGTTATGTCAAAGTTTATATGATGATTGAACTGTGAGAATTAAGGCAACCAATATTGATTGAGCTAAAATTGCAACAAGATTTATAATCCACAATTTATAGTAAGTCCACATTAACAAGAGTAAAAATCATCCGTCTTCATTGGCTTATAGCTTCTATCGGGAGTATATTTCAATATTGAGTAAAGTAATAAGGCATATTCAATTTCTCAGCTGTTGATTACATTATGCAAAATATGTATGTTTATCTCAAAACATCGTGTAATACCAAGGAATCGTGACTGTAGTAAAAATCTATAATCTTACTCCAGAGGAGTGACTTCATTTTTATTTCAAGATGTTTCTGAGAAAGCCTTTATACTATTAAAAAGACTATCGTCATAGCTTCAATTTACATAAGCTGGCATTTAGAGTAGCGCATAATTCAAAGAGCATTAATTGTTTATGGTTCATTTGGAGATACTCTGGGAGAAGCACCGATAAGTGATACCCACCCCTTCCACCAATACTTCTGTATAAAAAGTAAAAGAGTATGATAACGAAGAAGTCCTATCTCTTATTGTGAAAGTGATGACAAAATTGAAGCATTTATTTTGTCATAGTAGTATTGATAAATAAAAATGAATATTATATTAAACGTTTTATAGAGTGCCTCTTTTCGCAATGTAAATATGATAAAACCATAGATGAAGGAATTGTGTCTTTTTTAAAATGTATTATATTTTATAATTTATTGATTATTATATTAATTAGAATATGTTTTGTTGAAAAATATTAAAAAAACAATCAAAAATATTTCTTATAAGTATGATAATTTATTATCTAAATGTATTACCCATTACAACTAACAGAGATAAAAATAATTGCAGCTTCTATATATTATTAATCAAATGAATTTTTTGAAAACTAGCTACTAAAATAACTCTAATCTTTCTGTACTACCCACGTTGCAAACTCGACCACCTACATTCCCCATCTTCAATATCATTCTACTCCTCATCATCA